TAACACTTCACCACGACTCTGATATCATATACCTCATTGTCAGGGCTTTCTTGTACACAATTACATTATCTCTCTGACGGGAAAATTAGACTAAGATCAGATCGTTTTGATTTTTAATGGAATGTCGCGATAAGGATTTTTTATTTTTTTTTATTCTCGAGACGTGGATATGAAAATGAGATCTCGCCGGCATCTCTTTATATAAGCAGCTTGTAATAGAATTGTAACCACGGGACCAGACCTAATACAGTGTGTGTGGTTTGGTGTCCTACGAGATACAGTTATGGCGCTTGTATAAATGAAGATGTTGTAGCCCTGGGCAGAGAGAGAGAGAGAGAGAGAGAGAGAGAGAGAGAGAGAGAGAGATGCAAATGTACTGTATACTGCGTTCGTTTGAGGTCGAAGCCGAAAAATTTAATGAATATCGACGACTGTATGCAGGAATAATTGTATAAAGTGAAATCATATATCCTCATACACTACATATTCACTATGTATACAAGGATACAGAATTTCGAGTGTAAAATGTGATATTAATGTTAAAAGCAAAGCAGAAAGTAGTGAGTGTTGAAGATAAGAGAGTCCCCCATGTAAAGGCGTTTTCCCACTCTGAGGCCGCAGGGTGTGACCCGCCCCTGCTGAGTGGCCCAGCCTCTGGTCACTTGTTCCTGCACCGTCAATAACGTGCGCGTTTATCGCAATGAATGGATGTTGGAGTTACTTGTTGGATAATAAACCAGCAATATCGGTATAATTGTAATACCTAATATACTGAGCTTAATATGTGGATGTGGATGTACTAGAAATAAGTTATAGTACTTGACGTTAGAATACAGAAGCTCACTGGTGGAGAGATAAGCGTTGGTCGGTGGAGTTTATACGAGTATGGTGATGCTGCCAAAGGTCTACCTGTCTCGTCACAGTTCAATGTAGGCAGTGATTAGGCTCTCTCTCTCTCTCTCTCTCTCTCTCTCTCTCTCTCTCTCTCTCTCTCTATATATATATATATATATATATATATATATATATATATATATATATATATATATATATATATATATCTATATATAATATTTATTCCTTATCTTCCTCAGTCTTCTCTGCATGAGTTAAAAATTACAGACCACAATTGGCCGGTCTCAGCTGTCTGGCCGCCTTATTCCTTCACATCGTAAACGCTCGTGCTAACATCCTCGCTCTATCGTAAACAAAGCCTGGGAAAATGTCGTAAATAACGCTCTTAAGGACCAGTTTATTATCTGATCACAGGAGGTCACACTCGGCCCTGCGTCCCCGCCCCTCACCAGTCCAGCCTCTCCCCGTCACTGGTACGTTTTGTACTCTCTTCTTCCCATTACTACAGCTACCCCGTGTACCTGGTGATTGTTTCTTGTACCATAGGAGTGCATTGTGTACTTTGGAACTGCTCATGATATAGGTGATAACAGAAATGCCTTATGGACGACATGTTCTTGCACATTACCATGAAAGATGCCTGTCGTCTGCTGTACTTACCCAGAAGGTATAAATAAAATATTAAACCGAGAGATAATTTTTTTTTTCTGTAGTCGATATCGATCAGAGAACGGCCGTGGACAGCCTCAGTGATTCAGGGGAGTATCATCTCTCCTCTCCTACCTCCTTCCCCTAGCCTGCCTCCCTCCCTTACCCTCCCCACCTCCCTCACCCTGCCCCCCCTCACCCACCCTACCCCCCTCCTCCACACGTAACCCAAACCTCCGTCAACACCCCCATCCCCCCTCTTGGGTGTGGTGAATCCAATAAAACCTCTAACCTAGAATTATCTGGTTTAATTCTACAAACCGCCGAATTAATCTACCTGCCGCCGGCCACCTGATCCTGTTCCTATGGCAGCGTGATGGGCAGTTATCAAGAGACAGGTGAACGCCAGAGAGGTGACAGAAGATGACCCCCGTCGCTGTCAGGAGGGGAGATGTTTTGTTACAAGTACACTGATGGTTTGCACGATGATGGGCCGCCAGTGTTGGAGGTAACGGACCCACTGAGGCCCTGAGGACAGCCCTGTGACAAGATGATGAAGGAGGAGGAGGAGCAGGAGGAAGATGAGAAGTGAGTGGGAGGGGGAGGAGAGATCTCGAGAAAATCGCCGACGGTGGGCGTGTCAGGGGGCAGTGATAAGAATCAATACAGCCGACAGAGTCCGTAATTACAGTTAGGGTGTGATACACTTTTTTCCTCCCATCAACTTTCAATCGGGGACCATTAGCCTCCTCGTACCTCATTAAGTGGACCAGTGAACGTCACCGATTCCTCACGCAAACCCTAAAATCCTCCCCTCACTTCCCGCCTTTAACGCCAAAACTGTATATAATTAAATTTCACTCTTAATCCATGTCAGTTTACGCTAGTCTGACTACCCCCGTAATGTATAACCATAGTATTATTAGGTTAACACATATGATACGCGTAATCAATTCAGAGCTCATTTAAGGGTTGAGCACCAGTCCGCCATACAGTACGTGTACTGGTGGGTGAGTTATGGCCTGACTCTCAACACTCGGGCGTCGTCATTAACTCCTCTTAATCATAAACACGCAGGGTAACACTACCTCTCCTACCTGTGTTGCTCACGGGTTTCTATCCCTCTGTCTCCAAATATACATATACAGTAAGTACATGTGAACGTATATACAGATATGGTCGTCATATATATATATATGTGTGTGTGTGTGTGTGCATATATGCATGGGAATGGAGACACTTAACTTACGGTTAAACGAAAACCCCGAGGTGAAAATCAGTAGATGTATAATCAGTACACTCTTGGCATTATTCCCAGTGCCATAAATTAAAACTCATTAGTATTCTTGACGACTCTTTAATTGATACCAAAATCTGAATACTGAATGGGCAAAAAAATGAATATATATATATATATATATATATATATATATATATATATATATATATATATATATATATATATATATATATATATATATATATATATATATATATATATATATATATATATATATTTCCAAATCACACAAGCATCCCTTCTCCTGAACCAAGACTAGGACTGATGCAGTGCCTATGATTGAGAATTGTCAAATTATATATTATACGTAACTGACAAATATAGATATTTGTTAGAAGCTGTTAAGTTCCGTTGTTTTTAATCGTTGTATAAAAAACTTCCCCTCACGTCCGCTCTAGATGCAGACCAACACTGAGTCAGGGCGGAGGAGGAGGGAAGGTGAGGCGGCATCCAGATGAAGTACTCCTATAAATATTAATGGGTAGTCGGTGGTCACATCCTCACCTGTGGAGATGATGATACAACTGGTGATGGGGGGCGCTCGTGTGGCCAGACAAGCTGTATGACGAGTTACTCATCAGCTAACTTCATCCTATTACGCGCGTCAGTTTAATTTTTTCTCCGAGCTGCACTTAACGTTTGGAAGCGCTTGTGCGTGTATATATGCCGATGTTCTTAAGAGGGCAATATCCGTAGACTAAATCGCTTCCCACAACATCTCATATAAAGCTTGATATGGATATTGCTCCGGTGAATGCTATCGTATCCCCGCTCTTGGCTAGCTTCGTGACCTGGGTATCGCATGTTCAATCTTAACTATTATTGTAAATTCACTTCATGTCATGTAAATTATGCGGTCAAGCAAGCCTATTCCTTTCATTGGCTTTTCTTAGAGGGATTATTCCTGTATGAATGCTCGTTAGCGAAGATCCTTAACCTTTCGGATAGCGCAGCCTGTTTCTTGTGCCTTTGGGTCATGATCCATCGCTATTCATCTCATAGGGTAATAATTCGCTTGTTTCTAGGGTTTAGGTGTAAGGGAGCAGCGAGTTCTTAGACGGTGGTAACTGTGTGTCGTCTGATGTAGGTGGATGCTCGATCACTGTATTTCTGGCTTACCTTATACTCAAAGGGACCCGTAGAGCCGTAGAGTAACTGGGTTTGAGTGATGAGGAAATGCCTCCCAGAGTGAAACCTGTAGCTTCTACCGAGTACTCGTGACGGGGGTGAAGGGGATGGAAAAGCTGGGACTTAGAGCCGTCGCAAGTTTACCCGATAGGTTTCATTTATTCAGAAGTCACGCGCAACCCATTAGAGAGACAGAGAAGGATTCGGTCTGGGATGTTTCTATAGTGTAGGGAGTGGCAATACTGAGGGTCATAAGATGCAGATGCATTGGATTTAATAACAAAAGTTATTATCTGGGGAACTGGTGGAGACGCAGCATCAGGTTTGTAAGAAAAAAATATACAATAAGGGGACCGCAGCAGCCCCTGGGAGTAGGTGGGTGGAAGGCGGTCACCCCGGGTGCTCCTGCCTGACTCCACCACCATAAATAAGGCAGTGATTGCAGCGGTTGTGAGTCGCGTGTAGGTAACCACTGACTCTCGCTGCGCCCAAAGATAGGAAATCCCAATAGCAAGAAAAGTTTAAAATATAGTTAGCATTCTAGAGTGACCATATGTTAACTTAAGTATTTTTCCTGTCATTTTCAACTTACCGTGGAAGTGCACATACGTTGTATTGAATGGTAATTATCATCTCTTTGTAGCGCAAAAAAATGCTGGAGAAGGAAGAGCAACAAGAGGAGTTGGAAGCTTTGGTCGGCCCTCATTGTTTAGTTCTGAAAAGATTTTGATTTAGAGGATTGTTTAGTTCTTTTATGACGGGCAGTAAACAGTGAAAAGTGAGTTAGTGCGAGTCACCGTTACTTGTCCTGCCCAAGGTACGATCTCTGACTCCGCGATGCTTTATAAAAAAAAAAAACCCGTCAGGGTCCTAGTCACGGTCATTAGGGATCATCCAGCTCCTCCCGAGGCCCCAGGTCGTGTGAACCTGTTGGTTGCGTCGTGCCAGGACGTTAAATTGTAGATGTAAAGCGGCTCCCGGTGGGGCCGGGCTGTACACGCCCAGAAAGCCGCTGCTTCTCGCACCCCCACAGTAAAGGTAATTAACATGGATATATATTTTCTTGCAGGTGTTGACTGTGCAGATGCGAGGCTGACAGTGAGTTTTGTTGTTCAACCGACGTCAGGACCGTTTACCCTGTCAGGGACTCCGGTCGGGGTCATCTACCTGCGTCAGCGCCGCCGCAGGAGAACCAACTACGTCACTAGCACCAGCCGCTGAGCTGGACTAGTGTACCTGTAGCTGCCCCATTGCTGCCCTGACCAGCCCCTGAACCAGCACAGTCTCCGGAGCGCGCGAGTGCCACGTGTTGAGGGCCCCCCACATCTGCCCTCGCCCAGTGTTGTTCCTGTTGTAACCGTGGCAGAAGAAGCGCTCTTCATGATTACCATGGATATTCCGCCGCCACCCGCCCCCCACCAAGTGGTACACGCGCAGACCATCATGCAGCAGCCAAGCCCAGAGGAGTCCAAGAAAAAACGTGAGTATTCAAACCCTTGTAAATTATTTCACTGTTCCTTCTTACTGCATTATTGTCCACTTTCTTGCCTTGTGGTCTCTTCATTATTGATGTTCTCCCAACATACTGTTTGTCTAGGGTGAACTCGCACGATCCTGGTGTGTAAAGAGAAGAGAGTTCGCATTAATGAGGTTCATGCCGTGTGCGTATCAGCCCTTAACTCCACCATAAGAGAACCCGACACACTCCACCACATGGGATTGGACAGGGACCCCTAATGCAATAATTTCCTAAATTTCTTAATGCTAGGCTCTACCTTGCCACTGAGCCCATCTTGATAGTACGTTTAGCTTCCTCGTCAGGATCTTAACTCCTGGTAATCTATGATGACTCTATTGTGTAATTCATTATAATTAATAGGCAAAACACTGCGTTAACTCTCTCCTCTAAATTATCTGTCAAGTCTGCATCGTTCACCCCATAGCAGTGTCATTGCCTCTCTTTGTAGCACTCACTCTAAGTGATGGATCATCCTCTTCCAATATGTAATAAGCGGCTCCCTCCAGCAGTACCGACTAATCTTTGTGTTGAGATGTACTTTTACATCTCCTCTTGTAACACATTTCTATGAAGATATCTTTCAGCAAGTCATTCGTGAAGACAATAAAGAAGCCTTGAAATTGAACTCTTCATGGGCACAAATCATGGATATTCGTGCAAATGGACAGCACAATTTTCTCGGAGTTTACACTGTTATCGCCCTTGTGTTACATGCCAAGAAAGTCCACGATCTTAAATTCCTCAGTGACAAACTAGCACTCCCTCATCCACAGCCTTCAATTAACGAGGTGTCTGGACAAACCCACTTGCGTGGCATAATTTACACCTTCGTAAGAATTACACTTAGCAGTGTTCGACCCAACACCTGAGAGCCATTATAAGTCACCTTACAAATGAAAAACTCGATTTCGTAATTATATCCCGACCTGCAATTGGACACACTTTGTTATCGTCATTGCCCAGATGATTTTGATTCGTTGTTAACTGATTATGATAGTTATCTTTTCTTAGGACGACGCGCAGGTTTAATCTTATCGCTCACTGTGAATGTAAGGATTTTATGAGTTCATTTACACAGCAACTAACATCTCCATACGTCCCCCTCATTCCTGTTTGCTAATTATATTCCTTATGTTTACTTTAACAGTAAACCGGGTGTGAGAAGTTGAGGCTCGTGTTTACAGCAGTACCCTCCTGGAGCTGCTGCTTACCTGCCTTGTTCCGCCTCACCTCCAGGGGATAAAAAGTCTTAAGTGGCCTCAGGAACGCTTGTACCATTAAACGCCGCCAGGAGTACACCGAGTGTTGGGCGTCGCGAGGGGTCACAGCCTAAGAGGGTGTCCAGGTGTAATTTAAGGACCCCACCGTGTAGCTTATTTTATGTGACGAGATAACGTGAAGAATCCGCCTCTTCCCCTCCTCCTGCGACCCCGGCGCATAAATCAGCTGACGGAGGGGCGTGATTACATTGTTCATAATTTGCAGCATTAATAATGCATGTAATATTTACAAGCGAGAGTGCTCCATGATTCTGCTATAATTATACGTTGAAAAAAACTACAAAGCAAATTTTAAAATCTTGGTGTAGGTTCGAGACATTGAGCACTGATACGATTCAGCAGGAAATCAAGTAAATAGCCGTGGAGGTGCCAATCATCATAAATTATGGCGTAAACACGAAAACCTGTGATCAAGGGAGCCCAGACCAGCGTTCGTAAAGAGCTACCCCTAAAAATATTGCTTATCCTTTAATTACCTGCACCTTCCTCTTTTCACTCTAAAAGAAAAGTTTTTCGTGTATTTCTCACCCCCATTGACCTAATAAGAACGTCTCACAAACGATGTACAATATTAGGACAGATGTTATAATCCTTTTAAAGTTCCTTACATGGATCATTGAAGGTGATTTGTACCTCATCTCACCTCGTGTGCACCCAGAGAGGCGGGTCCTCACGCTTCCCTCGGGTTACCACCATCCCTTCGTCGAGCCTGACCAGATACCATCTATCCAGGAAGCTAGTTGAGGCTACTGTCGGATAATTCTACCTTACAAATCCACCGTCAAATCATTTGGACCGATAAAGGCGTTACGTTCTGAAGACACGATCCTCCGGCACACGACTTCCCACTCGTCTGCTCAATCAGTAAAAATGAAACAGTAAAAGCGCATTTACTTATATTTCTAATTGCTTGTAATTAATTAGACTATCATTAACGATTATTAGAAGATCATCAGAAGTCGTAACAACATATCCACGATTTCATGGCGTGGTTTGACCTACCAGCATAGAGCTTATGTCTTCTTTACAGTGTGATTAAAGGCTAAGTGATAGTTCCTGGCTAAATTACTGCCTTAATAAACTCCTTACTGCAGGACCATGCAATTAGACTAAATTCATCAATGAATGCAGCCGCCACAAGGCAGGAGGTGGACGAGGGGAGGCTGTCGTAGGGCGGGTAATTACAGCAAACATGCAAGTGAGCCTTCACAGGTGCTCTCACCTGGGAAGGTGTTCACGGGTCATCTACCAGGCGAGATATGCTATTGATTGGGGTTTCAGCACCCCATTAATAACGCATCATGCAGACTTATGTGATCCTCTGCATGTTGCAAGGAGGAGGTAGCTGGCTGACTTATGCATAGCTCCACTTTAGCTGTACCGGCAACATGTAGCCACGAGTCTCATCCATCACTCCGCTGCCGGGGGCCTCACTCTTTCATACAACATCCATTTTCATTTTCCCGCTGCTGTTAACATTCGACACAAGTTAATGTTCGCTGTTTCTCCATTACCAAAGAAACTCCAGAAGACGAGGCCGTATAGTGTGTGAACAAGAGTGAGAAGAAAGAAAAAAACACATGACAGGAGAATTTTAAGACTGCCATCTGACCACTGGAAAAATGTGTCCAACAGTTGGGGAAAACAACGATGTTATGGTCTAGATAATGATGATGAGCGTGACTTGATGATGATGACGGCCTGTAGGAGTGTTCCCTATCCTGACCACTGTGGCTTGGAGTGGACAAAAAGCTTAATGAAGGTGTGGAGTTCCTCAGGACTGTGTTGTGTCGCTGCGCTTTGGAGCTTTTCAAAATAGAGAAATGTAACATTACGTCTGAAGTTATGAGCTTGTAAGTGAAACTGACTGAGTGCTAAGATCAATATCACAGATGTTTTAGGTCGTATAGTGTCTATCTATATGTGCTGTACTTCTTTTTTCCGGTTGATATTTGGTGATAGGACAACACTTAGTTTTATGGTGAAATAAATTGTTCCCTTAGTTCATCATCTCGCTTATAGTATCATCATACTCGGTCATCATTTGGCATCCTCGAGGCTAATAACAAACCTATTTCAAGCCACATAATATTGATTGAGTCACTCAGGCATCACTCATAACTTAATTAACCAATCTCTTGCTAACCAGTTATCATCGCCATAAACAATTTACCATCATACTCTCTGATTATAATCGACAGTACACTTAAATGTCACATCCCTAATCACGAGTTTGATGAGTTGCAATAAGTAAAGCGAACAAGACTTTACAAATATAACCATCTTCTTTGTGGATAATCTGCCCTATGAATCTATTTTATTCCGGTAAGGTTCTCGTTACTAGTTCTTCAACACATTAGGTATCACTCCGCCACACTGCTCAGTACAAAACACATTAACGAGTCCATATTTGTGTTATTGGACAAAATTGATAAAAAAAAAACAGTGATAGGTGTCTTGTGTTAGGGTGAATTATATTGAGGTACCAGGTATTAGTGGTATTCCTCTTCGGTACTCGTTGTGGTAGGTACTTCATGCAGGTGTGTCATACAAACACAAGCGTCCACCAGAGGTTTTAATCACTACCTGTGGCCGTGACCAGCACACCACCAGCAGGCCCTGACGACGGTGGTGATCAAACCCCCAACCGCCAGGAAGTTTCTGAGAATCAGGGAGTAAATATTGTAAGTGACGTGTACACAGAGGTGCTGGAGGCGTCATTAGCGAACACTCGAGACAAACTTCTTCTCGACTCCTTGCTTCAGTTCTATTTCGTCCACTTGATTAGAATTCATCCCTGTGTGTGTGTGTGTGTGTGTGTGTGTGTGTGTGTGTGTGTGTGTGTGTGTGTGTCCATTATTTGCCATCTTATATCTTTAACCCTTAATAATATCTTCCTGGTTTCTTTTATACTTTGCTCTTGTGTGAAAAAAGTATTAGAAACAAAATATACTTCTTTGAGTTAGAATGAAATATATTATTAAGGTTCGTTTAATCATAATTTCATTATCTGGGGATGTGATGAAATTACTTGATAGTTAAACACACAAAAAAGGCTTGTAGCTCCCTGGTGGTTACGTCAGGCTCGCCGGCTGGAGCTGCTGGCCACGCCCACACCTCACGCAGGCAAGACCTTGTACATTTTTCTGATGATTTCAAAACAACGACAGATCAGCCAGCGCGTATGACGGTGCGGGAAAGTTGTACCAGACACACCACCCTCACCCTCACTCCCTCTCCTGTGAGGGTGAGAACAGGAGTGGAGGAGAGTGTCACTATCACTTGACCTCCAGTGAGGGTGAGAACAGGAGTGGAGGAGTGTGTCACTATCACTTGAGGTCGTGTGAGGGTGAGAACAGGAGTGGCGGAGTGTGTCACCATTACTTGAGGTCGTGTGAGGGTGAGAACAGGAGTGGAGGAGTGTGTCACTATCACTTGACCTCCAGTGAGGGTGAGAACAGGAGTGGCGGAGTGTGTCACCATTACTTGAGGTCGTGTGAGGGTGAGAACAGGAGTGGAGGAGTGTGTCACTATCACTTGACCTCCAGTGAGGGTGAGAACAGGAGTGGTGGAGTGTGTCATCATTACTTGAGGTCGTGTGAGGGTGAGAACAGGAGTGGAGGAGTGTGTCACCACCACTCCAGCTCCAGTGGTAGAGAGAGAGAGATCATTAGCGTATAG